CCACTCGCATACGTTTAGATGCATTTGCAGTTCGGTTCTCGGTCGGCTCGTCAATGGCGGGCATGCTGTGAACAAGGTGAACGCCTGCAAAATAATCCACACTATATCNATCCGAGCTGTATTCCAAAGGACTGAGAAAGCGCCTTTGAACCACAGCTGAGTCTACTGTATTTCACATTTCCCAAACTATGCCTGCAAAAGATCGTTCAGACACTGTTGTTACTCTGACCCGGGGAATGGGATTAGTTGTGCACAAAGCAGTGTCAAGCCTCCTACACCNAGCTCTCTGATTTAAATTGTGCTTATAACTTTGACCAATCGCCCCAAAACTGTGACCTTGAGTGACTAATCCTAATTTCATAGAGGATCAAACTCCACAAATATATTGTGCGAGTTAAGCGGACAGATATCGAGACAAGACAAATAACAGCCCTAGGAACTAAATTCAGAATCTTTAAGGAATATGGGAGGGAAACTGTTGTCATGGTTGAGGCTACTTCTAACGTATGCGCGCAGGGTAACCATCACCCCTCCTCGATGACACAAATGGTGCATCATTAAAGCTGATAGCCGTGCGTGTTGGCAGGTTTATACTCACATGGCTCAATACGACCGTTGGCAACCGTCTTGCGAAAAATCGATTTCATCGACGCTGTGAACTGATAGCGCGAATAAATGGAGCTTGTGTGAGCAGTGCAAAGCGTGTGAGTCTCGGTCTTTACCATCACTGGCTCTGAACTTTGATTTCGTGGTATTGATTGCAGGTTATCGAGAACATCAACCGCGAATCAGATAAACTACGGCACGTGATGCGAATCATAGTGACATCACAATGTACAGGTGAATTCGATTGTACAAACCCACAGAATTGAGCGTATGCAAAACCCCTTCGATCACATAGTTTATTGCATAGGAGTCATAGAGGATAAAACCTGCACTACACATTATACTTCTTTGCCATCCGAAGACAAAGTGCAGATTCGGAATATTCCCGACGGAGTCAAAACATCTGATAGAGCCTGATGGGCCAGCTCAATAACTCCTAATACGATTGTGAAGATGGATTGGTACTATATCGTGTACAGGAAAAATGGGGAATGCTATTACTGCTTTCAGAAGGTCAAATAGGTAGAAGACCTGCGGTCTACCTGTGACGTCCCGAATAATATGTTCATTTGGTTCGATTGCTTCTCACGACTTAGGAGACTTAACCAGGCCTACCGTCCACTCGTAGCGGCCTGAACGTTGTGTAGTCTAAAGTCGTCACAAATTAAACTCCACTGTAAATAGATCAACAGATATCACACTGAAACCATAACTCACATTCTTGTAATGGTGGCTTCTTTTTACGGAACAAACATTTGTACAATCTATTTTTAAGAGGGGATTTGCGGTCACTGGCAGGGTTTCGGACAAGGATACTGTTTGAACTTACGACTTCGGAGTGGATTTGATAGACCTCCACTGTTGGAGGACTTCTACCACAAAACAAAACTTACGTTAGTAGCAGATCCACTTTAAATTTGTTATTTCCGGTCCACCTGGCTAAGACGGAAAGCAGGAAGCGCTCCTGCATGTCAGTAGAGTCTCACAGAGAGAAGCCCTAGAAGGGATAGTTCGAAGATCTACCAACGCATAAAACTGCATTCCAGATTAGGGATTATCGCAAGTTTTCCGTCGTCAAAGTACAAGACCGAGGTTTCTATTAAGGTCAGAACATCAATGACGATAGTGATTTTCGGATGACGTCAAGATATGCCTCATGTCGCTGAATGCAATCTATGGAAATGCCAGAGCCCGTCCACATGTTTTGAAGTGATGAACGGAAGTGGAACCACTTCATCGACTAGGACCGCAACCTACGGCTGACCATGTGGACACAAAATCGGTGTCATCTAGCGGTCCACACCCTATTTGTGCATGGTGAAACATTGATCTGGTTAGTACGAGACACCCACGGAAGCACCTTTTCACGTTTTAACCTCGTCGACCAACACAAGCATACTATTGATCTTGTAACTGCTCTCAGTTTTTCAATCGATCTCACGTTGAACACCGGTGGACCAAATGGAAAACCGAAATACAGTAACAAAAATCAATACATGAAAGTGCAAAGCTAACAGGTGCATAAACTGAACTGAACAAAAGGTTCGTTGAGAAGGAAAAATATGGCCAGAACCTATTCGACCATGTCTAAAATTAAATGAGTCATCTGCGTGTACTGCTCGAGAGCGATGGACATGTGCTGAATATGTTCACCACAGTTCAGATCAGGTCAATGGTCTCGGCGTAGGCCTACACATACTCTCTCATACGTTTATTCAGATCATTTGACCCCGCAGAAACATTGAACCAGAACACGAAAAACTAGTCTCACTATAAGGCTATGTTATTGGGATGATTCCACGACAACATTGAAATTATGCAGCAAAGGAAAGAAATAGTCAAGGTCACAGTGATATAAGATATAACATGGGTCAGCTTGAAACCAAATACGGTTACAACAGAACATATCTTAATGGTTAAATAATATCAGTCAAGTCACAGAACCGAACTGAACAGAAGAATGTTTTGGAGATAGACAGAAGAGGAGAAAGATGGAAGCAATCAGTGAACGCACAAAGAAATCACAACAATTAGGAATGATTTGGCAAACTCCAAGCGCCGTTAATCTTCCTTAGTCCGACCTTGGATTCACACAACTCTCAAAAGAGAATGGCGCAAACAGATATCCATCTCCCTTGTAGAACTTGCTCTGGAACTCGACCCTGGAACGAAAGGTAGGAGGGATCAAATCAGTCTGAGTAAGACAGGTGCCGCATAATAGCACGGAGAAATAAACACTACAAAAGTAAACACTGTTCATTTGGGCGCGAAGGGAACGACGAATTCTGTAAGGATAAGTGTAGTGAATGAGCATTCAAAATAAATGAAAGAGAAACAAGAGAGATAGACCCAATGGGATTAGGAGTTAATTATCTACTGCGCATGATCTACAATCTTTGAGTAGGAATTATGGATGAGCGCAACACACGAAACCCTTGTCTTCCAGTAAAATTGCAGCAAGGCAGTTTGACGGTGACGACAAGTACAAAGGGATTTGTAATGCACATTAAACTAACAAGACAACCGAACCAAAAGGTGTGTTTATTAATTTATTTTGAGAAAATACTCTTACAACCAATTTTATAACGTAAACATTGAGTGAAACATCCAGTTTGGGTTAAGAAATAAGCCACTTAGGGGAAAAGGAGAAGTGAGAAAAGTACATATCTCTCAGAAATAGAAAACTGCACATATTCACTGTCACACGAGGAGATAGATCAGTCTAGATCACACAAGCGTTACAAACGCACTTGGTATGGCTGACTTCGATCCCCGTCCTTTGCTGCATACTACATAGGCGACACATGAATGATCCCCTGGTGGTCTACCATGATAACTTTCCTTCCTTATGAAACTGAACCGTAAAATATTGTATAAAACAAATTAGACAGATTAATAATATAAATATCATTTCGATTCAGATTTGGAATCCCGGAAGGGACGATGGATGTATACTACAGATAAACTCTAATCAGAGTGGAAATT